TCAACAACTTGTATACCAGTAAACATGTCAACAATCTGTATACCAGTAAACATGTCAACAATCTGTATACCAGTAAACATATCAACAACCTGTATACCAGTAAACATGTCAACAACTTGTATACCAGTAAACATGTCAACAACCTGTATACCAGTAAACATGTCAACAATCTGTCTGCCAGTAAACATGTCAACAACTTGTATACCAGTAAACATGTCAACAACCTGTATACCAGTAAACATGTCAACAACTTGTATACCAGTAAACATGTCAACAACCTGTATACCAGTAAACATGGCAACAACCTGTATAGCAGTAAACATGTCAACAACCTGTATAGCAATAAACATGTCAACAACCTGCTTACCAGTAAACATGGTAACAATATACATACTAGTAAACATATCAACAATTTGTATACCAGTAAACATGTCAACAACATGTATACCAGTAAACATGTCAACAACCTGTATATCAGTAAACATGTCAACAATCTATATACCAGTAAACATGGCAACAACCTGTATACCAGTAAACATGTCAACAACATGTATACCAGTAAACATGTCAACAATCTATTTATACACCAATAAACATGTCAACAACCTGTATATCAGTAAACATGTCAACAATCTGTATAGCAGTATACATGTCAACAATCTGTATAGCAGTAAACATGTCAACAACCTGTATACCAGTAAACATGTCAACAACCTGTATATCAGTAAACATGGCAACAACCTCTATAGCAGTAAAGATGTCAACAATCTGTATAGCAGTAAACATGTCAACAATCTATTTATACACCAGTAAACATGTCAACAACCTGTATATCAGTAAACATGTCAACAATCTGTATAGCAGTAAACATGTCAACAACCTATATACTAGTAAACGTGTCAAAAATCTGTATACCAGTAAACATGTCAACAGTCTGTATACCAGTAAACATGTCAACAATGTATATACCAGTAAACATGTCAACAATCTATATACCAGTAAACATATCAACAACCTGTGTACCAGTAAACATGTCAACAGCCTGTGTACCAGTAAACATGTCAACAATATTTTGTCGAATTAGTTAAACTACAGCTATCTTTTTCTGAACTCGAAAGACGAATCAACGGGGGATTTTGTAGGGAATCTAAACGAGGGATTTTGTAGGGAATCTAGTCATTTATATTTGTTACAGAAACGAAGTTTGATTATAAACAAGATTACGACACTTATGATAAACAACATTGTTTATTGACAAAAAGGGGACATGGATAAACGTTTCAGAATTCTATCAGATTCCATCTTCAGTATCTAAAGCAGAATAAAATGAATTTACATCAGTCTTTAATAAACAAGATTACGACACTTATGATATACAACATTGTTTATTGACAAAAAGGGGACATGGATAAACGTTTCGGAATTCTATCAGATTCCATCTTCAGTATCTAAAGCAGAATAAAATAAATCAATCACTATCATTGTTGGAAATGGCTCACTGTCTCATCTTATGATGTTGGTGGTTGTTATCCCCCAATGATCTATCACTTCTGACTCAAGGAGTTTCACATCTCACACCCATTCACTGTCGCCATCTTCTCCTGTGAGTACTTGCTGTCTCACCTGCTGGCGAAATGGCTCACATTGGTGGAGCTCGTTCACCAGTGACACCTTGATCCTAACTGTAGGAAGGGCAAGGAGCATCCTTTCATGGAGAATCTTCCTACTACTCAACTGACCATCAGTCTTTTGTAAAAGGGCTCACATTCTGGCTAAACAACTCCTGTTTGGTGAAGCTCATCCACTAACAGTGCTTTGTGTCTTGATCTTGGCTCGGCTAGGTGCCTCAGCTAATGGAGAGACTTCTCTGCATCTCACTGAGCACCAATTCCTTTTGGTAAGAACTTCATGTCTCTTCTGACAGTAAACAGCTTATGTCAATGGAGCTCCTCTTCCACTGACACTTCTTTCCTATTGGTGGCATCGACCAGAGGCAGAGTTTTGACAGTCTGGTTGGAATATATGTAGGAGTCGAAATGATACTGCCCCCACTCAGTTTCAGTCAGCTGCCCCAACAATCTCTAGTCGTTCAGATTCCACTACCAAGGTTTCACCTGAGGAGGAAAATTTCATCACGCCTTTTTGTTGCTCCAGATAGCTCTCATTCTTCACCCCAGGCTTGCAGTTGCAGCATGATGATTGCAAGGGACCTTTACAACAATGGAAAATGTTCGAGGTCTAGGAGAGAGAGAACTGGCCACTCTGTCTTGGCTCATGAACCATCATCCATCCCCCAGTTCCTATTCCTGTTGTCCAGTAGAAAATGACATTTTTACGTAATCAGAGACGTATGTCTTATCACTGGAATGTTGACAAGTCTGGCCATTCACCTTCTCAGAGATACCACAACAATTCTACAACTACGATATCTCTTGGTCATAGCACCAAATTTTTACCTTTCTTTTACTCTATGGTCATTATTTTACCTCAGAGTAAACAGTCAGGGCCAGCTAACTGGAGGCCCAAGAAAATCGAGCCATGAAGTGTGGTTCTCTCCGAAAACAATTTGAGTTAGTTGAACAAAAAAAAGGAAACAAATTAAAAAAATCTAAACACTCTGTATTTCACACAAAAAGTAAACAAAGTAGAAAGGCAAGTTTTTCTCGTACATGTGTAAAACAGGTGAGAAATGTGGGAAAAGGGGAAAATCTTGATTAGTTTATTTTAAAGGTTCAGATGTGACCCCCGTAATTTAAACTAAAAATCCAATTGAAAAATAATCATGACAAAAGAAAACAAAATCTAGTGAAAGTAAAATGTAAGCTTGGATTTTATTAACAACTACATTTAAAATAAAACCCATGCTTAAACTTAATATTTTAAACATACTGAGTTGTGTTAAATCAGCCTAAGGAAGTAAATGTTAACACGAAAACGAATTTTTAAATAAAACTAGCTAATTTCCGCAAAAGCTCTCTTCATGGAGCTTGTTATCTAAAATAAAACGAAACGTCTGTCAAAATCCAAAATTCCTGTGGCAAGAATAATATTAAATATTAAAAGAATAATAAACTCAAACCAAGTTTGTAACTGACACCGAGCACTATCAGCGAGCATTATCTGTGTTTGTAGCAAAAAAGTGTGCAAAGGGTGCACCCATTCCTAAACTTTCGATTTTTTAAATAATTTTTTCACTTGTCATTAATAGAATGACCGGGTTGGTTGACATATTGAGCAACAATGATATTTTTTCTGTGTTAATAGAATATTTATTGTTATTTAAATGCTCTCTGTAAGTCGTTTAATTATGTTCTACACTCTGGTTATTTCAATTTTTACATTCTATGAAGTAAGTGAGGATGTTTTGTGCAAGTAATTTCTTTAGTAATTCTAAAGTGTCTTTGGTCATATTTGTTGGAAAAAGAGTCGGTAGTTTGTATGAACTTACAGGTTAAACAACAAGCTTTAATATATGCATGACAACCATTTTGTGGTGGGGTGTAACACACTTTGGGATGAATAAGAATATCTTTAAGATTTCTGCTTTCCCGGAAAGGGGTACTGGGAACCTCAAGAAAGATTTGTCTGAGGCGATCACTAAGTTGTAATAGATTAAATGTATATATATTCAAAATACATGAAACGTTTCTGAGTTTAAAGTGATGGATAATAACAAGAGGAATCCTCTATGACTCTTTAGTGTTAAACTGTTTAAGGATTATTTTTCGCTGAGTGTTGTTAGCTGTTTCAGTTTGTCTGTTTTGGTATCTTTATATCCTGTTTATAACATGGTTTGTTTCAAATCCTTGGTGTGTTTTCTGTAATTTGTTTCATCAGAACAGATTTTTTCATTCGGAGAGCTTGGTTGTAAGTAATATTCTGTTTAGTTTCGGTGGGGTGTAAACTTTTGTAGTGAGAATAAATCAGTCTGTCAGTATGTTTTCTGTATAAGTCAGTAAATATAATTCCACCATTTAAAGAGACGGTGACGTCGAGAGTGTTAACTATGGGTAGGGGAGTAATTAAAGGTAAAGTTGTTGTTTTGTGTGAAAGGTGTTAGCATAGGAAATAGTGATTCAGAACCAGCTGTTCAAGTGAAAAATATGTCTTCCAAGTGTAAGGTTTTACAGGGCTTTGCTTTAAAAGAATGCAGTCAATGTGACTCATAAAAATATTAGCATAATTGGGAGCAATTTGGGTTCCCATTGCATTACCATTATTCTGAAGGTAATGTTAGTTGTTGAAATCGAAGCTGTTTAAAGATAAGACAAGACTACGAGATTGGTTAGTTTCTTAGATTCTGGTAGATTGGAAAGGTTTAGGGCAGATTTCAGAACATCGAGTCCTTCATCAAGTGGAATTTTGGTGTAAAGGGAAGAAAGTCATTTGTACACAGAATGCTATTGGTATTGACTTCCTATACGATATTAAGAAAGTGAGTCGTGTCTTTTATGTAAGGAGGGAAAGTACAGGGGATATTTTGGTCAACAAAAGTAGACAGCTTTTTAGTAGCCATGTTTGTGTTAGAAATGATGGGTCAACCAGGATTGTTTGGTTTGTGTATTTTGGGTAAGAGATAAAGTCTACCAGGACACGTTTGTCTGGGTATCAAGTGTTGGAAAGTTTCTTTGTTAATTTTATTTTTAGAGGAGTTATTTAAATTTGTCAGTTATGGCCTTAATAAACTTAATTGTAAAATCCTGAAGTTGGTGGTTAGCTTTAGCAATACAGTTATCTTTGTTAAGAATATCAATAGTCCCACCCTTGTCTGCTGGCTTTATTGTAATACTGTTGTTTGGTTTAAGATCCTTTAAAGTAGTTCTTTCTTTTTGGTTAAGATTATTGTAACATTGCTCAGATTTTAGGCTCATTATTATTGTTATATTCTACAGTTTTAATATAACTTTCTGTAAGATTGTCTGACACAACATACACGCAAGATATCTCATGATATATTTGTCTGTTTAAATATCTGATGCATGGTTTTGTTTATTGTTTAGACACAACAACTTTGGGCTACCTGATGTGTTCGTCGTGGAGAATCGAACCCTGGATTTGAGCCTTGAAAGTTCGAAGACTTACTACTGTCTCACCGAGTGAACTGCTGAAGGTACACGTTAAGTGTCTATTAATGTCTTTCTTTGTCTAATCATATCTGATAGAACGTACACATTAAGTACTATTGAAACCTTTCTATCTCTCATCAGCTAACGCAAAGCACAGTTTACTGACCTTGTGATATCTTTCTCTGTCTAATTATCTGGCACAACGTACACGTTAAGTATCTTTTTATACGTTTTTCTTTCTAATAATCTACTGTAAGGTATTCGTTAAGTACCTAATGATATCTTTCTCTGTCTAATTATCTGACATAATGTACACATTAGCTATATATATTGATATATTTTTCTCTCTATCTTACTCAAATTACACATTAAGTATTTATTGATATATTTTTCTGTCTAATTATCTGACGCAATGTACATGTTAAGTATCTTCTGATATATCTCTGTTTGTAATTAGGATTGCCTTCTGGAAAGAAAGTCAAACCGTCATTGAGACAACAACGAAAAAAAACAACAACTGACAAGCCATAACAGTGTATTGTGTTATTCGGAAAATCGAAATAAATGACAATATAAGAGTATTAAAATAAAAACCCTATAACCCGAGCGCTGGATCGTTCTTCTTCATGGGTAAAAAAGAAGAACATACGTGTTTTTCTGACATCATGAATTCACAAGAGTATCTGTATCGACAAACTCAACAAACTGGTTCTATTTCCCTCTATTGAATTTAACTCTAACTATACCATCATTACCAGATATAATAAAACTGAAAAGAAATACGATTCTTATTGCCGTTATGGCTTTTGTTATTTAAAACTTTATTTGATACGACGTATGTTTCCACAATGTTTTCAAGAAATATGTATGCCAAAATATGCTAAGGTATCAAACCATTCTAATGATTCGTTTATATTCTGACTGTACAAATTCATTATCAACATTTATTTTTGATAATAAGACAATTAATTACCGTATTGGTCCGATTATAGGGCGATCTCGAATATAAGGCGACCTCCATTTTCAAAAACCACGGGAAAGAAATAAAAATTGAGTGTCATAACGTCCATTTTTTAGGTCCGCAAAATCAATATTATAACTGAACAGCCTACAGGTGGATTAGTGTCAACAATTAGCGATGACTTGAGCGAACATTTGGGACGCCTGTAGTCGGCCGCGATTATAAAGCGAGTATGAATTTTACAGCTTAATTATTAATCAAAAAATAATCGCCTTATAATTTGGCCAATGCAGTATGTTTGTGTAGGCTTACATACACAATAACAATGAAGGCAGGATCTGAAAGTTTTATAAATTAAACAGCGTTGCTTCCTTCGACCTGTTTTATAGTTTTTATTAGGCCTACTTTGCACGAGGTCCATTTCATAATAAAGAAATTGTCTGCATTGTTGTTTATTTAAGAAAATAAACTTGGCATACCTTTAGTTTTGCAGCTGATGTCAGCTTTCAGCGTATGGAACTATCTCATCCTTAAACCTTGTAATTTATTTTGTCATCTATTTAAATTATACGAGCTACATTTTTCTCTACTACGGCATATTTTCTTTTTCTTTTTTGTGAGTTTCTTGTTCCAACTCATAAAATCATGTCACACACTGAACGCTCATAACTGTTTCATACTCTGTACACTATTTTAAATACCAGTAGTTTATTTTACATGCAGTTTTATAAAATAAAGTTACGTCTACGTGAGTTTGTTTGTCTGATCGCGTAATTTATATATTTTTTAAAAATAGACCAGTATTTGTTGATCTAACACATAATGCCTGCAAGATGGCGTGCATGAAGATGTTGAATAAGGAAAATTCAAGCGAAGGGCATAAAAACTACCAGAAATGTTTATAGGTCAAAGCTAGTTTCAAATTAATTATGTTCTTGTATCTAAACGTTATTGACAGCAGAATACATTATTCAATGATTTCTTGCAAATCTGGTTAAAACCATAAACGTCATCATGGTAACATATGCCAACTGCTAAATCTTGTAAGAAAAACAAATAATAATAAAAGAACTGAATTTTTTTATTTATTTTATTAAACAATCATCTTTAGATCCCGAGGGGAATGCGTTCCCCAAACGGTTTATCCTAGTAAATAGCTGTTTTAAAATGCTTAACAAAATCTTTATCTAGCGGCGACGTTTGGGACTTCTGAACCCGAAACGTCGCGTTAGGAGGAAAGAAAAGGTCTAGGCAGGAGAAGTCTATAACAACGCGTACTTTTAGAAGAATATACTGCCAAAACCAACCCTTAAACAAGTGATGTATTGGAATATGGGGAAATTTTTTTTTTCAAAATTTGGTGAAAAAACAAAGGGTTATAGCCTTGGCTTTTCGGTGAAAATATGATTTTTTTTGAAAAATGGGAAAAAATTGCTTTTTGGACGCAAAAGTAATAGAAAAGTATGGGATTGTGCTGATTTCGTCGGAATACTCAAAATTGACACATTATAACATTAACGAAAAATTTTATGTCCCGTGAAAAGATAAAAAAAGAATTGAACTATCGCTAAACCAGAATAACAAAAATCCAAAAGGTGGAGTTTATTTTATAAGAAGACGCCATGGCCTTTTAGATGGTGAGATTTTATTTGATTATTCTTATTTTTAAAGCTCTTCTTTGTTTAGAATATAAGTGAAGCCAAAAAAAAAAATACCTGAGAACCACTAACCACACAACCCTTAAGTCATGTAAACACCTGAACACTAACAATATACAAGCTTTATTACTCTTACATAATAAACCTTTACTTGCGAACCAAAGAACTTATTGATGGGCGTAGATTAGTCATGTAATATAATCTGGAAACATCTTGTGTTGTTGGGGGTAGCTTAGTTATGTAATAAATTTATTGATGGGCGTAGATTAGTCATGTAATATAATCTGGAAACATCTTGTGTTGTGGGGGGTAGCTTAGTTATGTAATAAATTTATTGATGGGCGTAGATTAGTCATGTAATATAATCTGGAAACATCTTGTGTTGTGGGGGGTAGCTTAGTATGTAATATAATCTGGAAACATCTTGTGTTGTGGGGCGTAGATTAGTCATGTAATATAATCTGGAAACATCTTGTGTTGTGGGGGGTAGCTTAGTTATGTAATAAATTTATTGATGGGCGTAGATTAGTCATGTAATATAATCTGGAAACATCTTGTGTTGTGGGGGGTAGCTTAGTTATGTAATAAATTTATTAATGGGCGTAGATTAGTCATGTAATATAATCTGGAAACATCTTGTGTTGTGGGGGGTAGCTTAGTTATGTAATAAATTTATTAATGTCATTTCAAATGTCTTTCATTATATTATTATAGTCAGCTTTAATTAGACTAACCAGGTAAAGGATCATTTAAAATGTTTTTGATTATATTATTATAGTCAGCTTTATTAAGAGTAACCAGGTAAAGGATCATTTAAAATGTCTTTGATTATATTATTATAGTCAGCTTTATTTAGAGTAACCAGGTAAAGGATCATTTAAAATGTCATTGATTATATTATTATAGTCAGCTTTATTAAGAGTAACCAGGTAAAGGATCATTTAAAATGTCATTGATTATATTATTATAGTCAGCTTTATTAAGAGTAACCAGGTAAAGGATCATTTAAAATGTCTTTGATCATATTATTATAGTCAGCTTTATTTAGAGTAACCAGGTAAAGGTAATAGTATGGTTATTCTAAATAACACTTACTATGTAATCAATTTGAAAACAATATGTGTTGATGGGCGTAATTTAGTTGTTTGATACGTGTGAAAACAGAATCGCTTGATAAAGGAGTTTAATAGTAGGAATGAAAAAGGTGTTACGTGGATACTTGGGTTTAGCACTAGTTTTGTCGAATGTTTTACGCGAGTACTTGTGTCTGTTACTAGTTTTTTTCCCAATGTGATGCTTAGGTGCTCGGATTTAGCACTAGAAATTTTCGAATGTGCTTCGTGGGTGCTCGGGTTTAGCACTTGATGTTTCGAATGTGCTTCGTGAGTGCTCGGGTTTAGCACCAGATTTGTCGAATGTGTTACGTGAGTATTTGGATTTAGCACCAGTTTTGTCGAATGTGTTGCGTGAGTATTTGGGTTTAGCACAAGTTTTGTCGAATGTGTTGCGAGGGTACTTGGGTTTACCAAAGGTGTTGCTTAATTCTTAGGTTTATACTATATATGACAAAAGTTCTGTTTGGGTAGTTAGGTTTGCAATAGATATGACAAAGATGCTGCTGCTCGATCAGTTATTTTAGTATAATATGTATAAAGTGTAACTTTGTGTTAGACTCTGACAAGGTTGAAGTGTTTTATTGGTGAGGCTACAGATGAAGCAGACACATAGTAGAAGAGTTAACAAGCAAGCCTAAACTTTGGACTGTTACTGTTTATTTCTTTGACATGAGTTTCGAGGTTGCGATCGTAAAAACAACATTATAGAAGTACTTTTAGTCTACAATTGGATCACGTCATTGGAAAGAGTAGGCTTCTCCACAATTCTCAACGTGACAGCAATAGTTGAAGAAGTATAGAGTAGGAAAAGCTTACCTATCAAAAAGTAGCCAAAGAATTTCTACATTTCAAATAATTGCGCCACCAGAGAAGATAGAATTATCTCACTTGAAACACGTTTCGTGAATAGGACCTCAAGGAAGTACCTGTCCAAAAGCATGTTTCGTCATCAGGACCTTAAGGAAGTACCTGTCCAAAGCTAAATTGCCTATGTGATCAGTTAAAAAAAAGAATGGTTAGAAATTCTTAAAGATCAACATTTCACTGTAATGATTCCTGGTATTCTAACTTTATTTTTCTTCTTTTACCCACTTAACTGTACTATTGTAAAACTACCTTGTGGTATATGTTTGTACGGTACTGAGACCTATTGTTAGATCAATGGCTTAAACTCGTTGGTTGGAGCCACAACGTGAACAAATTATTTAATTAAGACTATCAAAAAACAAACAAACAACAACTCCCCAGTGGGATAGCGGTAAGCTTATGGACTTACAACGCTAAACCCAGGGTTCGATTCCCCGCGGTGGACACAGCGGATAGCCCAATGTGGCGTTGCTCTAAAACAAACAAACAATAATGAAGTAAAAAAACAGATTTAAAGTTACAAACATACGAATCCTGTTATTCAGCTTAATAATTAAGTACTACCTGCAATTGGGCCTGACATGGCAAGTTGGTTAGGGCAATCGACTCGCAATATGCGGGTCGCGAGTTCAAATCCTCGTCCCACAAAACATGCACGCCCATTCAGCCGTGGAGGAGTTATAATGTGACGGTCAATCCCACTATTCGTTTGTAAAAGAGTAGCCCAAGAGATGTCAGTGGGTGGTGATGACTAGCTGCGTTCCCTCTAGTCTGTCACTGCTAAATTAGGGATGGCTAGCATTCATGTAGCTTTGCACGAAATTCAAATCAAATCAAATCATTTGGGAACCGTTCAGGATACAACCTGGGCATCCTGGTGACACAATCCATACAGTAGAACCATCTTCTTCAACTGGTGACTTGGGAACAGCTGCATCACAATGTTTGTTTGCTACCTTATTTTAATATTTTTTGGACCCTTTAAAGATGCATTGACCTGCTTGTGCAAATTCTGACCCTGCACTGGAAACGTAGGTTTGTATAACAGCCTTTACTATGGTCGGAGTTTGATATTCTATAGCCTAACTTCATATATTCATGGTTTCCTTTATAGGCGTACGTTTTGGTTTAAAATTTTTCATTTGTTATTGTCTACTCCTGTGCCATTGACATTTTAAATGTACGATGGATATTGGTAAAACTTAGAAGGTTGCCAAATGATATTCTCCACGAACCTCATTCCATATCACTAACAAATATTTTCCTTTACCTCTCCATTTTTGTATTATTTGATTCTCAATATTATTCTGAATCATTTTCATATTTCTTGTAAAAAGAAATGTTGAATAATTTCTTATTTTTTTATCAACGTTTTTTAGACGAACAACATATGGATGAGCCGCTGGCTCATTGTGAACTTCCACCTAGTGGAGAACATTGGAAGCACCATCAAGTATATAATGGACGTTTATCGTCTTCTGCCTCCTTACCAGCTCTTTGTGATTTATCTTCAAAAGACGTTACTGTTCCTATTCCAGAGATCAGTCATCGCCAAATTACCCCATCTGGTGGTCAGGTGCGTTCATCTAGTAGCGTTGGTTACTTACAAACTGGTATAGGCATTAATACTGGAACCGGAAGCATTCATAGTAAAGGAAGTGACACCAAGCCCCTGTCTAGTGCGTGGAAAACAGCACTTGGTGCAGCTTCAACCCAAACGGCTCTGAATCGTGAAAGAAGAAAACCTTTCCGAAAAGGCCCCAAAATAGCAGAGAGACCAGTTCGTGCACTGTATTGTCTATCACTTAAAAACCCTATAAGAAGAACGTGTATTGGCATCGTGGAGTGGAAATATCCTTTTGTGAGAAAAATGGTATTCTTTATAAATGTTCGTAAGTCAATATAGCTTCTCTAACAAAATGGTAAGGAGGCCCATGATTAACTATTAATTATAGTATCAGGATACAAATGTCTTATCTAACAACACTGTCTTAAAATGTGGAATCTAATTCAGAAAAGTAAGGCTCAATTATTAGTTAATTATTACTTAAACAAACATAATTTTATATTCTGGCTTTAACTTCAAAAAACACAAAATAATAGGCAAGATAATGTACTTTTCTCGCTCAAAATTGATCTGGCAGATACAAGAGTATTTTGAAAAATACAAGAACTGATACAAGAGTATTTTGAAAAATACAAGAACCGAAATCGATGGTTTGAAATTTAGACCTTTTCGAAACTAGGCTATAAAACAGATTGGTAATGAATTTCACATCCAATCAAGACACACTGTAGTGTGTCGTGTGGCCAAAACGATCTGCTGCAGGACACACTATGTGTTATTAACAGGAGTGATAGTTTAGTCGATTTTCCACCTTCTGTATCTTGGACTGTAGTATTACAAACTATCACATATTTTCGTGGATGTGTTATACTAGACCCTTACTTCACATACCAAATTTCAAGGCAATCCATTAAGAAATACATGAGATATAACATGTCCAATTTTGGTTGAGTTTCTTCCTATATTTTTTATTCGCACCAAAAGTAGGGAAACTTTATTTAACTTTTAGGGATTTTTTTTTCAAGTTTGATACACTAATAGATCTTTTCAACTTACAATTAAGAATCTCATTTGATGTAAATATAAGCCACATGTGTAAAGGTATTCAACAAAATCCGCTCAGATTTATAGAAAATGTTTGCTCACGCCTACGCAAAAAGTCACGTGGGCCATTGGTCTAACATTTTTACTAGAGCTTCACCTAAGAGAAAAAGTGGACCATTTTTATTTTTTGTCATTCGGACTAAAGATAGCTATATGGTGAAAGGACGTGCAGATACATAAGTATTCGTTCGGCTAGTTTTGTTTTTTGTTTGTTTTTTTAAGTTAAGCACAAAGCTACACAATGGGCTATCTGTGCCCTGCTCACCACGGGTATCGAAACCCGGATTCTAGCGTTGTAAGTCCGCAGACATACCGCTGTGCCACTGGGGGGCATTCGTTAGGCTAAGCAAACTGGATTAGTAGTTTCTAGCTCAAATTAAAAAAAATCGTACGGGTGAACGGTTATTATTGATTGTCAACTTTTCAGCATTAATTTACTAAATTTTATGAGTTATCCTAACTAAAGAGAGTTTAGCGTCAAGTGATATTAGCTTAAGCAATTAGCATAAATAAATGTTTTATACTGCTGTACCGATTGCATGG